ATAACTCCACTGAATAGAAAATATAAATGCATGAAGTTGAATTCAAAGCTTGCTTCTCCAGTGATGGTGTAGAAAAATTTATGCTTAGGAATGTGTTGATTTCATTTGTTCAAATAATGCGATCTTTAGAACCCCAAATAATATCTTTAGTGCTGGATCACATCTTCAGGGTACAGTTTTCTCATCCAAAGAATCAAAATGTGACCATGTCTGTGTGGTGATAAGAGGACTGAGTCTTATGTCCATCTAATGTCTGTCTCCTGTAAGATCCTGGGTGGCTCTGAGCAACTTCAGCATCATGTAAGCCAATGCTGTTCTACCTTCTTATCAAGAGACAGGGAGAAGGCATAAGGGTTTGGATAATCTCAGAAGGTTTCATTCAAAGAGATTCCTGCAGAGATTGGGTCATGTGTCAGCAGGGAAGACAGGATTAGAAATTAAGTGAGAATTGCATTGAGAATTAGTGGTTAGGTAGGTGACCTTCATCTTAGGTGGGCTTTATTCCTTGCTTGATCATGGTTCCCACATTTACTCTCTGGATGTTGTAGCCATCAGTTCTGTGAGGAGACATTTCTGAGCAGCATCCTCTGCTTGTGAGCCCAGAAGGCCATTTCAAGATTATTGAGACATTCTTGGAATCCGGCCTTTGGAGTTGGATAATTTGGGATTTGAATCCCAGCTCCATTGTTGAGCATAATTGTTTGGCCTTGGGAAATTACTTAATTTTTTACACCCTCAGTTCCAGCATCTGCAAATTGGGAATAATTCTTTGTATCCCGTAAAACCATTTTAAAGATTAAATGATAGAACATGTGCCAAGGGTTAATCCAGTGCCAAATAGCTATTTGTTATTCTCAGTTGTAACCTTAACTACTTAAAATATTACTCTAGTTTAGATATCTATGTTTCTTTAAATTTTTGTAGAAGTCCATAAAAAGTTTTTATTAATGAAAATCAAACCAATTAGGAAAGCATTATTCTGATAATCCAGATAAACCAGCCAGGGAGTCATTGATTTCCCCATAATTGCTGGGTTTGAAGCTCCTTAGATCCAACATTCATGTTGGTAGTGTCCTCATTTCGATAATCCACCCTCAAAGAATTCCATCCAGTTAGTAAGGCAAGTTATTTCTTTCTTGAAACCACACAGCCCCCTCTGAACTGAGTCCCTGCTCTTCCTCTGTTTGATTTCTTAAAATAGTTTCTGAAGATTTTAACCACAACTGAATCAAAACTAACCAGCCTGTAATTTCCTGGTATGTCCCTATGGCCTTTCTTTTAAAACAAAACACATACAAAAATGGCATTGCATTGGCTGATTTCCAGTGTTTTGGGGTTTTGACTGGAGTAAGCTGGAAAATGTCTCTGAAAGTTACTCTAATTTCTCTTCTTTTCTCTTTTGGAGGATGGCTCTAGGTTGTTTGTGGCTTCATTATGCTGTATTATCAAATTGAAAAAATTTTAATTTGGAATTGTTTTAAGAAAAGTTTACTAAGTACTATCTGTCCATAGTTCATTATATCTGCCTTCTTTTTGATTCTAGTACACAAAAAAATGAGGCAATTTACAGTAACATATGAGCTAAAAAGTGAAAGAGCTGTTCTTTTTTTATATAAAAGATATGCTATGTAAAATTCAAGAATTGTGGACAAGTTATTTGAAGTCATAAATTCAAAGCAAAGTTGCAATATATTAGGATCTTGTCATGACACCTATGCAAACATTCTGAATTCAGCTCGGAGGTACAGAAGACTAGATTTAGTTTGGCCAATTACTTAAATGTTTAATGACTTTTGTATTATGGCCATTTTTCATCTGTTTTATGATTTAAATGTCTTCTTTTAGATGAAGTCTCAATATAACTGAAATATTTTCATTTACAATTAAGTGTTTTGTTTTAAAGTAAATGTTCATAATTACTTTAAAACATAAAAGTTGGAGTTAAAAGGAAGCAAAAATGTGAGTGAAAATAAAAATTCAGATAACAGCTCAATTAAAACACAGCTCAAAATAGTAACCAAGGAATTTCTTTTAAAATCACAAGAACCATTATGAGAATACATGAGCCTAGTTTATTCCTATAAATGATTGTTTCGGTAAATGTGCTTTGAATTCATGAACTATGATCAGTTGAAAACAATGAAACTCAAAATGCAAAATGAATGTTGAGATAATGATGTAAGGAAAATTCATTTCTAAACAAACTCTCTCACACTGAAGTTTTATGACACGGTATAGCTCTTATCTGGGATTAATGTATGAGAAATTGTCATATTCTGAAGTTCTGTAATACTAAAATATATTTATATAAGTAGAGTGTATTTCTTTATGGTATGTGTATTTGGAAGTAATTAATAAAGTATTTCCAAGTACATAAATATCTTCAAATAGATTCAATTTATTTGTGTCCCAGAAATTCACATGATCTAGGTTTTAAAACTGTTCTTAAAAAATCTTTCCTTATAAAATATTAATTAGCCAGCAAGCTTTCTTACAAAGCAGAAAGCAAAAGCAATGTTAAGTAAAGTGTTATAAGTTATTAAATTTAGGGCAGTCTGAAATAATATCTTACTGTTTAAAAATTGAAACCATTATTTACCATTTATTGTAAAGAAAAGTTTTGATTAAAATAGGATCAAATATATAATGATACATTATATTCGTTTTATGGGGGAAAAGATCAGGGACCTAATTATATTAGCAGTTTTTGCCCTCATCTTCTCCTAATATTATCTATAATTACTGCTCTGGATATTTTAAAGCATTCATTCTTAAAAATTGAATTCCAAAAATTAAACACAGAAGATACAAAGCATTCTTTGGGTTGTACGGATGTGAGCAATATACATAATTAGCATTTGAAAGAGAGCATCTATGTAGATTTCATGTTGTGGTACAAAGGCTGAAGATTCAGACATCCCCTGCCCCCTTGCAAAAATCACAGAATTTCCTCCTACGTTCAGCAAAGAGGAAGCGTTGTGTAAAGTCCTCTCCCTCTCTCTCTTTTCTTTCCTTTCTTTATTCATTTTCTAATGCACAGCGTGGTATCTGTTTTACACACTTTCTATTTATTTTGCTTCCTGCCAAACGCCTGGCTGACAAGCATTAACCTCAATTGTTCCACCTGACCTCTTGGGCTGTGTCGTTGAAGTGATCGTAGATTACATCATGCCACAAACTGCTCTCTTCATCTCACTTTTATGGCGAGACCTTTCCGGAGAGTATTCCTTTCCAATCATTTTTCATCGATTCATTTAGCACCTACTCGTATGGTTTCGACTTCGGGGCTGGTGTTTTGGGAACCCCCAAATAACGAAGACATTGTTAGATTATGTAATTGTTGGCTCTTATTTGCTCAAAATGTTTCTTACTGTGCCTAATACTTTTTAGTTCAATATCTAAAGTGCAAGCTCCAATTCCTTAGGAGTCTTAAATTTTAACAAGTCAATCATTTCTATATCTATACAATTTCATAATGGTCTTACTATAGTTCACAATTCAAAGAAATGGCAAGCAAGATAATAGTATAAGAATATTTTTATATCATTACATCCTTGAAAAAATTTCCTGAGCTACCAGGATATTCTGTTTATTTTTACTTCAAGTTAGTTAACTGAAATATATAAACTACTTCTGTAATAAACAATTGCTGATTTAGGCTAAGTGGCAGACAAGTAAATTGACACTCTTTAGCTTGTGATTTGCAAGTGCAATGGTAAAATACAAAACACACAGAAGATGCAGGAATTTTCAGAAAACTCAGTCTACATTTTATAATTTAGATTCCCATATGACACTGGAATTTAAACAGGCAAGAAGAGATGGTAAAGATAACTGCTTCAAATTTTCCAAAGCTTCTTCTGCGGAGGCTTAACTTCCCTGAGTATTTCTTACAGTACAAATCTCCTGTAGAAGATGGGAAGAGCTCCAATAGATGGAGAACTATACTGTCGACTGTGTTCAGACGATAGAATTTTCCTGGGGACGATATGTGCCGTCCTAATACGATGGTTCATGGGGAGTGTTTCTGAAAAATGTAAAGCTCTACACTGCAAATGCAAAGTGGCATTAGTGTTGTTGTCATCATTATCTTGACCACAGTTATCCTGTCAGGATTCCAATGTCACAAAGGAAACTTAGATTGGAGAGTTGTGCAGAGGTGAAGAAGGTATTACTGGAGTATGTCCACTTTTACTTTTTCCTCAATTGATTTTGTCTTCTTCACTTAAGATCATAAATAAATGACTTACACACAAATCTGTTTCACACACATGTGGACACACACATCACACATGTATACACAGAAGCATTTGGCTTTACAAAAATATTTCACCATGATTTGGAAAATCAGAAAAGCGTTTCTCATTTTGAGAACCGATCATAGCAAATGGATCTGAACCTGGCATCACCTTGCAAAAGTATTTTAAAACATTTTTCAGATGCAAATGGGAATTTTTGAAAACACACTGATAGATTTCCATAGCCAAATTAAATGAAATATCCACATGTGAAGAAATTACCAGACATATGCTATGAAAATAGGAGTGATGGATCGCTGCTGAAATTGCTTTATTATGAAGGTGCAGATGTGCCTACTATTTTAATAAGCGCTCCTATTGAGTATCATAAAATAATTTAAGTCGTTAGATCCTGCCTTGAGGGGTTCCTCCTCCCCCCCTTTTATATTGCTTCTCCTGGTTCCCTGTCTCTTCTCTGGTCCCTTACTTGCTATAATTATATAAATACACCACCGTAAAGAACAATCTTAGCATAGATCCCAAATGTTGTCATTTGCATATGTAAGGAGACTTATTTTCAATGGATTTATCATAATTCTTCCAATAGATCTTTGGATAACCTTTTCCCTAAGTTGAGATGATATCTAAATTTGCCAGGTAACATTTAATGGTGGCTAAGAGGAGAGGAAGTTTCTGGAGAAGTCTGACTCCAGGTCATTCACAGCTTGCTCACTTTAGACAGGCTACCCTGTCACACGGTACCTTCTTTTCGTTTTCCCTTCGCTGTTGGTCCTTTAATTTAATTTGCAGAAGTTGAAATTTCAAGAGTTTCCCTATCAGTGGTAAGGTTAATTTCTCTCCATTATCCATAATTGCTTTTGCTGCCACTAACACCTATGAAGAAACACAACAATGATTAGGAAAAGTAACATTTTATAATTGTCATAGTCTGTCAATAATGAAAAGATGAAAGGGTATTTTATGGTTTGTAATATTTGTATTACTGTAAAGGCGTCTCATTGCTGGTGAGAGAGAGAGAGAGAGAGAGAAAGAGAAAGAGAAAGAGAGAGCCCATTGAAAGGGGCATTTACCCTCTACCTGAAATAGATCGGGTTGTCTGAATATCAGCTTGTTTGTCCAATAAGGCAAAGAGTACTTCCCACAATGGCATGAGACTCAAAGTCCCAGGAAAGGGCAGAGGAGAGGCAGGCAGGGTCCCATTTACAGATGACTGACAGGTCACTTTCATGCTACAGAAAGTCTATTGTTGTTTGGGATAGCCAGTAATCCAAACTGTCAAACTTTGACTTATGAGGACATTATAAATTAAAGAGGGTTTTATAATAGTGGAAATGACTATGTTAGCAGTCTTTTAGTTCTTGGTGACCAAATTCAAATGAAAGATAAAAGCTGCTTGACACAGAGGCGCCATATGAATGCAGCTCGGCTCTCACAACTTAATGTTGATTCTGTTGGTATGCGGCCTAATTGGGGTGAAATAAGGTTATTGAGTTTTCTTTGGGTGACGACAGCCACTAGGAACATACAGCTGTATTGTCCAGATGTGTGGCACTGACAGCCTATTTTATGACTGTGTTTTTTACAGCTTGTTTCCCCTGAATTTCACACAACTCTCTAACATCTGGGCCCTTTTCCTTGGAGTCCTATAACCACTTTATTTACTGCAAAAAAAATAAAATCACGTAAAATATACCATAAAAGTTGTTATGTGTTTCTCTTTATTCGTGTTGTCTTCCTAATAAAGTCCACCCCTGCCTGAAGGACTGTCACAGAAGTAATGTGGTTAAAGATTTTTCAACTTTTGTTTTCAAGGGAGCATCATATTTATTTATAACCTCGGGATGAATTAGGTGTTACTAAAGTGCTCTGACATGTGGGTTTTCTTCCCCCTTGCAGCAATCGCTCCTCAGGCGCATATGGTGTCAATTTCAGGCTCAGGGTCTCAGACAATGACCGTGTGCACTGCATCCCTGGAGCTGGGTCTTGTCTGAGGTTTGCACCAGTCCTTGGTCCGTTTTCATGTCCAGTACAGATTCTTTGGCTTTCTCCTTGGCCAAGGAAACAGCAAAAAGAAAGGGAGTTATGTATTTCGCTTTTAACTGTGGATTACTATGTGCCAAAGGAGAACGGGACTTTTCAGAGACCACCTTGGGGTTTCCTGCTCTGCATCACAGCATGGGAAAGCCAGGAAAAGGATTCCTATAAAACCTTTTCTAAAAATCCAGGCAACAAACCCAGAATCAGGAAGCTTTGTGCATCTCAGCAAGCACTCTCCAGGAAGCACAGTGCCAACAGCTTCTCATGGTGATTGTGTTCCTGCTGAGCGGAATTAAGGAAAGGGACATGAAAGCTGTGAATTCTGCAAGCAGGAAAACTGGCAGGACAGCTGCAGAGCTGCAGGCAGGCCTCAAACGTGCTATGTAGCCCAGGCTGGTCTTGAACTCAAGATCCTTCTGCCTTAGTTTTCTGAGTGCTGGGATTATAGGTGTAAACTACTATACCCAGCTCAATATTTGATTTGAAATGAAAACTTTCAGTACTAGTTGAACACTGTGTTGACAACCAGGCTGTTTCGTGACATCTGGTTCAAAGTATTATTCAAATTTGGGTTTTTAAAACTCAGAGCAGTCTAGCATAGAACATTTCCTGTACTACAAAGATAATGACAGCGTTGAGGGAAGCCAACATTGAAATGGGTAAACCAAGAGTGCTTGTGGAGTCGCTCTTCCTGATGATCTGTGAAAGCAGGATATTCACCTGTGCCTGGGGAGGTTTGGGAGAAGCCTGCCTGGCCTCAGTCGTGGTGATGGATAGGATGTCTCTGGAGGAGCTTCCTCGCCCCTTGTCTCCAGAAGTCTTTGCATGTTACCTCATTGTGTTAAAATGCATTCTAACACAACAAAACATCCCCAGAGAAAGGTATTTTGCAGGCCATAAAAGTTGTTTCTGGCTTGTCGAAAACTGTAGAGTGCTGGATTTCAACCCAAATCTGGCATAGTAATAGTGATATCCTGCCCTGGTCTGAGGAGAGGGGTGATGGGGAGTGTCACTGGTACTGCAGGCACCCATGACCTCATGAGATGTGGACACCAGTGCGTACAGTGGCAAGGCCAGGAGCACTGTGGAGTCCTCTTCCCAGACAGCCTGGGCGGCCCAAGTGCTCTAATGCCTAGAAAAGGCACAGTCTGCACACAGCACCATACCAGCAACAGAGCTGGGCATAATTGTCCTCCCCAGGGTTGTCTTGAAGAGATATGACTCCCACAAATGTCACTCTCCAACACTACTGTGACTCCTTGGGATAATTAATGAAAGTGAAAGTTTATTCTGAACTCAAAATCTGACACCAAAAGTTCTCGTGGTATGTGGGTCATCCCCCAGGAGAGGCAGAAAAAGAAAGATGTTTACAAATTAATTTCCATTAAAAATTCATACTTCTCAAACTCCATAATTCACAATTCCACCCAGGCAGTAGCCAGTAGTTTAGTTTTAGATGTAAACCAAACACTCAGAGGAGCTTTGTGTGAAGGATGTCTTTAAGGTAAAACTGAAGGAAATCTTGGAAGAGGAAGGGGGACAGACAAAGGGGGACAAGAGAGGAATATGGGGGTGAATATGAGTACACTAAATGCATGCATGAAAATGACACAATGAAACCCATTATCTTGCACAGTTAATATACGCTTATTAAAAAAAACTGAAGAAGAGATAGAATTTTAGAAGAAATGTATCTTTTCACAAAACATTTCTGAAAGCTTCCCCTCCCCTGCCTTACTTGTATTAATTGAATGAAAACAATCAAACGTTCCATCTTCTAGTACTATAATGTGATTCATCCAGTATTTATGGTCAATATGAGTATGCATACCTGGGTGTGTGTGTGTGCACGTGTGCTTGTCAGCTGTTGACAGGGACTGTAGGTTTTGGGGGGTGAGGGACATGAGAGAAATGTCAGCAGTGAACTGGCAGGAGGTAGGGAGTAACAGCCCCAAATCTCAGCTTCCTCCCACCCCAGGCAGAAGAGAGTCCTAAAGAGGTTATAGCCTGGGTACTCATCAGGCCACAATACCAAGTAAGTGTGCCTGGCATGAGTCAGAAACACACCAACACAAGTCATAATGGCCAAAAGGGGCTCATTAAAATGGTGAAAACTGTTGCCAGCTGAGGCCTAAGAGACCTCCTTGGCTTAGGTCTCCAGGTGGAAGGACCTGAGTGCTGGTGAGGCCCTGGGCCCAGTGACCAAAGGTGTTCAGTTTGGGGAAAGACGGATATAGGAGAAAATTAAGTTTTAAAGAGTGTAGTTTAGACAAAGATATGTTTGTTGTGGGATGATTTTGTTTTGGAAGTGTAGATTCTCTTTAGGAAGTTTGTGATTCTGAGCACAGTAAGAAAGAAAAATACTTCCCTCTTTATCACGGACCTGGCCTAAAGACTTACATCATATTTACCATCTAATAATTTGATCCAACAAAAATAAAGCAAATGAGCCAAATTCTTTCCTTGCCTTGGGATCAGGCCCACCCACAGACATTCCTCCTCTTTGTAGTACTTCCCCACATAGAAAGCACAAACCTCTGCCCGCCAGACACTCAGAATTATTCCTCACATTCCCATGAAAACCAGATGGATGGATCGATGAATGGATGGATGAATGTATGTATGTATGCATTATGGAATGGAATCCTACGAGGTCTTCTGCCTGATATCCCTGGTGCACTTGTAAGGAAACATGGAGCAGCTTGATCCATTGCTTAACTTGCTGCACGTTCAGTCCCAGGTGAGTTCTGAGGATGTGTGAGGATTCTAGAACTGCACTTCTCTTGCCTGAAGCAGGATTTGGTAGTGGAAGAGAGGGTGGGGTGTGGCTGTGATGCAGAGAGGGGAGGGAAGATGGGAGGGATATAGTCGGGGGCAAGATTTTTCCCTCATAGGTTCCAAATGACCACTAGGACCCCTGAAAGAATCCTTGATTTCAGAGTCTGTTTTGGGGGACCCATGGAGCATGTTGCAGCAGCTGTAACGATTTTCAAAGTATGACTTTATATTCAATCCATTCTCTTTTTATTAATAATTTAGGATTGGTGGATATTTAAAGACCTCAGCAAACAGGAGCAGAATCTACAAGATAGAGTTGACTCAGTCTAGACTAGCACAGGACTGGGCAAATAGACTTTAGACATGGAGAAAATCTAACTTTTCTTTCTTTCTTTTTGGTATCACTTTTTTGGGGAGTAGCTCATTTACTTAACATATTCTATGGAAACTATTATGGTCCCTCAGCTCAGCATGGTAAAAAGTCTCAGCAGTGTATAAGAACACATAGTAAAACGAAACATTCTCCCAACTCTTTTGACCACCCTCTCCGGAGATAATCACTATAAACCAGTTCTTGTGTGTTCTCCCATAATCCCCCATACATAGAGATAAGCATCTTCTTTATGATTTACATAATTGGGATCATGCTATTCATATTGTTAAGTGGTTTGCAGTTTGTGTTTTTACACAGAATCATAACCAGGACTTTGTGTGCTGACATGTTTTGCTCACCGATGTATTTTTTTAATAAAAAATCTTGTCTGGGATGGATATTTGGACATTTATTTAACTAGTTCTCTATTGTTGACATTTAGCTGTTTCATTTTTCCCTCTTAAATGCCTGTGTATTTTTGTTAGTGGCATTTTTGTTTCCACCAATATTTCCACCCCCCTCATCAACACTGGGTATTTTCCAACTTGTTGCCTTTTTCTGTATTGGTGCTGATAAGCAATTTTGGTAAAGGTGGGAATAAATGTTCTTTATCTATACCTATAATATTGTAGCCACCAACTACAAGCAACTATTGGATATAGTTTAATATTGCTAGTGAGACAGA